TTACCACGAGATGTCGCTGCTTCATGAGGCCATGAAGCTCGACAAGCGTAGCTGTATTTACTGTATGTCGTGACGCTACTAAACCACGTGTCGAAACGCAATCGGTGTAAATACACTACAGTCAGAATTAATTTATTACAAAGAATATTTGCAACTGTTCGTTATTGAACGGCAAATCTGTCTTTTGTCTGATATTCAATGTTTATATTGCAGCTTTAAAAGATGACTATTGTTCATTATTTTTATCAAAATATTTCAAATTATACAGAATATTATAGAAGTTATTGTAAATAATGTGTAAATTTTTTTTCTTAAACTCTTTTAATCTCAAAATTTTTCTGCTGAATTTTCAATCTCTTACTCAAAATTTCTGTTTACTTTTGATATATATTTAGAAAAATTACTTTACATAAGAGTTTATCACACCAAGTAACCAATCTAACATATTTTAAAATTATGTACAGTACAGTAAAAATAAAAAATTTTAAAAATGTCTTAGATTGGTCACTCGATGTGATATACTCCTACGTAACTATATAACTACCTTTAACGTTATATAACTGCCTTTGTAGTTATATAAATCAAATACTACAATATAACGAACACTAAAGCGAAAAGCATAAAATGTGTTTGGTTATATCAGCCTTCCATTGTTACGTTTATCGCGGTACTTGAAAGATACGCAATAATACAAGTTCATCCATCAAGTAGTAAGCAATTAAATCAGCCATATAATATCTTAAAATATTTAAGATATCATTTTTTCCTTAATATTAACTCTAAGGAACTGTACCATTCGCAGCCGAATATTAAAACAGTAGAGCGTTGTTTATCCGAAGGTCGGTTATCCGAAGGAATTCCAGTCGACAAATTTAAATTTTCGCCAGTGCTGTGGCGCTGTAATCTTTGGCTATGTCTTCGGCTACTCAAATATTTTACGTTTTTGATACTAAATTAACTTCTGAAGTATAATTTTTTATTGTTTTTATATTTTTCAATATATTTATTTTGTTTGTACAAAATAAAAAAATAATTTTTAACGATACAATAGTCTTCGTTAGGCTTAACATCGATGAAAATTCAACGCGAAGCAACACGCAACGGAGAAAAATGTCAACACGGGATAAATTAATATATTTTTTCGAACATAATTGGTTATCCGAAAAATAAGTTATCCGAACAACCCCAGATCCCAATTGATTCGGATAAACGACGCTCTACTGTATATTAATTTATACAAATTGACCATTTGCCATGGCGCAGCTTGGCTTATATGGCCCTTGTGCCATAAAACACCAACTAACCAACCAACCAACCGAAACAGAAGAAGAATAGAAAGTTGCAGTGGAAATCCACTTAACCTCAAAGAACTTCATTTAGAAGGACTATGCTTACATTGTGGGAAAAACAACCATAAATCAGTAAACTGTAGAGTCAAAGACTGGCTGAAATGCGAATGATGTCATAAAAAAGGCCATATGGGAAAGGTATGCATATCATCCTTAAGGAAATAAACATCAACAATTAACAGGAATCATAACATCCACAATATTAGTCACGAATGTGTAATTGACTTTGATATAAACAGTGTTCTAGATGTATTTGTTAATATAACATGAACTGATGACAGACTCCTCACAGGAATCTATGTTAACGGTACAAAAGTCTGTTTTGAATGTGACACTGGCAGTCATGTCACCATCATCAGTATCGATGAATTCAATAGTTTACAATTGAATGCGCCCATAGCAAAAACGGAAGTGACCTTTCGAAGTTACACAGGACAGACATATTTTCAAACCCCTAGGAGTAGCAAAAGTAAAAACTAACAGTATGGAGGACTTGTATGTCATTCCCTTCCAAAAAAAATGCAATAGTAGGAAGAGATTGGATTCAAAGTTTAAAGATTGACATCAATGAACTCAGCCATACAACTAAAAAGGTCACAGTCAACAAGCAGTTGCACGATTCACACCACCCAATTATCACACCCCAGGATACTTATCATGACACTGTTGTTAAACATATCTCAACTGAAACTATCACTGCCAAGGAAATTCAAAGAGAATCATCAATTGATAAGGAACTATCACAGATCAAAAATGGCATTGTCAATGACCATATGTACAACCCAGAAATATCCACACACAATGGTATTCTGTTTAGAGGACACTGCATAATCATCCCAAGAAGTTTACAGCCAGCAGTCCTGCAAGAGCTACACTCTACTCACATGTGAATCATTCGAATGAAGGCCCCAGCCTGAAATTACTGTTACTGGCATAATATTGACTCTGATATCGAGAATATGGTCAAAACTTGCAAAGAGCGCTGTGACATTAAGAAAAACCCAACAAAAGCCCCAATATACAAATGGGAAATACCTACAAAAAATGGCAATGTGTACATGTTGATTATGCAGGACCATTCATGAATCATTATTTCTTTATTGTTGTTGATGCCAAATCAAAGTGGCCAGAAATATTCTATACAAAGAGAGCATCAGACACATCCAACACAATTCATTTTCTACGAGGTGTCTTTGGTCGATTTGGTCTACCTGAGATTTTAGTAAGTGATAATGCAAGTATTTTTAAATCACAAGAATTTCAAGAGTTTTGTTTTAGAAACAGAATCTGTCAAAGCTTAATAGCACCAGGACACCCAGCCAAAAATGGCCAGGCTGAAAGATATTGTCACACCTTAAAAATGCATCTCAAATGTATGAAGCATAAAAGTGGTACTCTATATCAGAAGCTCCATGAAATACTATGATAAGCTTCTTGTCTAGTCTTCTCAATGGTTAGTGAGCGCTAAGATTGGCTTTACTTTACTTCTAGTCTTATTACACCACCACAGGACATCAAATTAGATTTAGAAAAACACTATTTTATTTTCAGAATGCATTTCGGACATAGAGTCCCTCATCAGCTATTTGCTACAAAATTAATAGGAGGTTAACAGTTTTATAAAAAGGCTGTGATTGACATAAATGAACAAAAATGTGGACTTACATTTGACATGTGGATTCGACGCGTTGAACATTAATTAAAAGATTAAGCATACGATATACAAGATTTCTCGTTAAAAACGGTAATGTTGGTGCAATAACGTANGGTTAACAATTTTATAAAAAGGCCGTGATTGACAGAAATGAACAAAAATGTGGACTTACATTTGACATGTGGATTCGACGCGTTGAACATTAATTAAAAGATTAAGCATACGATATACAAGATTTCTCGTTAAAAAACATTTTGTTAACAATGTATATTTTTATAACTTTACTGTTTTACCAGAACCTCTGTTTATTATTACGTTATTGCACCAACATTACCGTTTTTAACGAGAAATCTTGTATATCGTATGCTTAATCTTTTAATTAATGTTCAACGCGTCGAATCCACATGTCAAATGTAAGTCCACATTTTTGTTCATTTCTGTCAATCACGGCCTTTTTATAAAATTGTTAACCTCCTATTAATTTTGTAGCAAATAGCTGATGAGGGACTCTATGTCCGAAATGCATTCTGAAAATAAGATAGTGTTTTTCTAAATCTAATTTGATGTCCTGTGGTGGTGTAATAAGTGTAGAAGTAAAGTAAAGCCAATCTTAGCGCCACTCCATGAACTACTATTTCGATATAGAGTATATACTTTCCCTTATCTAACAGTAAAAGTCCAGCAGAAAACTTATTAGGGCTTACAATAAGAACAAAATTAGATCTTCTCAAATCCAGGCACAAGCTTCCCAAAGGAACATAATTGAACAATTGAAATTCTACAAAATTTACTCCCACTGTCTACCTTTACTTTTTTCCCTCCTGAAGGTATGGAGTGCGCTCCTGTTGAGCTACTCTCACATGATACATATTACTTTTGTTTTTCTCTTTACAAATACTAATAATCCTGATTTCACATACTAATACCTTCAACAATATCTGCCTTGTGCTCTTTTAAATTTCCCAAGAGAGAGCAGAAGTTGCACTAGAAGACCACTGAAGATTAAAGATTAAAAACATTTCAGTGACAATACAGTTCAGTAGAAGTTAAAGGTTAGTGAAGTTTTATGGTTTGAATGCTTTCAACATAACAAAATAAACTTTTTATGAGAAATTGTCATTTTATTCACAATTCTTTTCTTTAATTTTAATAATTTGTATTTAATAAATAGTTCAAGTATGGTAGTTTGGTTGTTATGAAAAGTTATTATGAACAATTGTCATTGTATTCATAAATCAAATGAATTTATTCTCAAAATTGTTTTGCAATAATGAAAGTATTTGAGTATGAAAGAAATTATTATTTTGTCATGCCAGATTTTTATCAAATAAAAGTTTAAGATCACTGTCTTTTGGCATTAATAAAGTTTTGACAAGTAAAGCACAAAAATAAACAAAATATCTTGCAAGCACTTTTGAAATGTATAGAATGTCTTCTTCAGGCAAAAGGAAAACAAATTTTAGAACTTTGATATAAATTTTAACAGTAAAATTAATATGTTCTAATTGGAATGCATGTGTTATTTTTAAATGTTTAATGATAATTTGTACTAATTAGAACACATATGATGTTAAATTTAAATGGTGTCTATTAAACTTGCACATTTAATTAATGAACAAACTATAATTGAAAATTATTGGCAGCTGGGATTTAACTTTCTTTTAAATTTAAATTATTATATAGTGAAATTTATGTTTTTGGGAGCTCTAGAGTGGACTTATTACACAGCTATACAAGTTGAAAGTGCTTGCAAGATATTTTGTATTTATTTTTGTGCTTTACTCATCAAAACTTTATTAATGGCAAAAGACAGTGATGTTTTTCATATATTTGATTATTATTTTATTTAATGAAGTGTTTATTATGTTTAGGGCTTGGTTATGGTATGGTTATTGTTTCCGGAATAGTTATGTTGTATTATAACATGATAATTGCTTGGACACTATTTTATATGTTTGCTTCCTGGACTCGAAGGTTACCATGGGAACACTGTGATAAAGATTGGAGTTCATCAGGTAATTTAAATTGCTCATTTTTTTATATTATGCTATTATGAATTTTTTAATATAAGTTATTTTATTTTATTACTATTGAGAAAAATTACATAAAATATTTTAAAATAAGTAATATATATATATAATGAAGAATTCTATTATAGCATGTTATTCCTATGAAGATGCTGATGAATGTGAGAAAGATAACGGTACTTATTATAATCAAACTTGTTACACTTATAATGAATCAATTACACTGAATCTAAGTGTATTAATTAAAGGAATGCATAAAAAGCCACCAGCTGATGATTATTTTGTGTGAGTATATGGACTTTTTCTTACTTTTTTTAAATATAATCTGTTGAGACAGTGATATATATTTAGCTGTGCTATATTCCAGTTCATATGCAATTGTTTATAGAATGTGGTAGAAATTTACTTAGGTATTATTCCCAATGGCAGCACTTCCAGTTGCTATCTTGTTTGTTAGTGTGACGTCTACAAACAAGCTTCCTCTTACGATTTTTGGATTTCTTGGTGGTTATTTTTGGGAAAGAATATGGTTTCAGGCTCTTTCCAAACTGGAATATGACCTACTCCTGGATATATCTTACTCATATGCTGGACGAACAACTCAAAACGTTCTCCTGGTTTTAATTTTTCCCATCTCAGAAGCTTCTTATACATAAAAGTGTATAAATAGGAATCAAACAAATTGTCTGTGAAATGCATTGGCAAATTCTGTTAGACTAGATGTTGCTTGTCGGAGAGATTAGTAAAAACTAGTTAGACTCACAAAACTGGTTAAATAACAAAGAAACAAAGATTACACTGTCTTGATTCACAGAAGGTCAGTGCTGAAAAGGGAAGAGTGAAACAAGATCACTGTCTCTAATGGCTCCCCAAGGAGTCAACAGTGCCACCAATCTTTTATCACATAACGGAAGAATGTTTACAAAACATCGCGACACAATGATGTCGTATAACATCAGACAATAATTTTGTCTGATGTTATATGACATCATTACGCAATGATGTCGTAATGATGACATATAACATCAGACAAGAATTTGTTGGAATCAACGATTCCAACAAATTCTTGTCTGATGTTATATGTCATCATTCTTGTCTGATGTTATATGTCATCATTCTTGTCTGATGTTATATGTCATCATTCTTGTCTGATGTTATATGTCATCATTCTTGTCTGATTTGTTGGAATCAACGATTCCAACAAATTCTTGCGGTTTTTCAGAAGTGTTTGATTTTTTGCATATGAACACCTGTAACTAGATTGATGAAATTTTCAGCATGTTTCACAGTGCTGTGGGTTATTTTGACTCCATCCAAATTGCTGATGTGATTGTAACCTTTCTGGGTAGACTACACATCCTGAATTTAAAAACTTGCTAATAACCCAGTTCAAACTGACCTGTTATTTACTTTACACAAGAAACAGGAATTATTATTGCAGCAAACGCCACTGACAACCCACCTAGTGCCTTTCAACAACTTCCCTTTTTTGTTCTTCCTTTTGCTCACAATGGTCTCATTGATTTTGACAACCTTTCCAGGTCCACCAATTTTCATTCAAGTCAAATTGGACAAGGAAACCATTATTATGTGCCGTATGAAATTCTCTCAGTCCACAGCTGTTTGACAACTCATGCCCGCTACTAAACACATCATGTTCAACATACATTCCATACAAATTAGATGGCAAACAAATGAAAAATAGTACCCCAAGAAATCTTTCCAAATTAGCCTTTAAACATACCTTCAAATGCTGAACTGTTCATCTTGCATTTATGACATCAAAAAGCAACAGAATCAAGATCCTTCCAAAAAATGTAATTTATGTTGACCTTTACATTTCTCACAAACTGCATCTACAGTTGCAAACCTAACTTTATGGCAAACTTAAGATTGGATGGAATTCTTTTATTGACATCGATTTCAGGAAAATTTTAATCTAAAATACAGAAAAAATTCCAAGAAGTGCACTTTTGCCAAGAAAACTGTCTATAATTTTCTAAAACCTCCATGCCATTGAAAAAAGAAAAATCCACAAATACAAATTGCAACAAAGAGAAACTCACAAAACATGCTAAGTGAGATCAGGATCAGTAAAACTCTGCCCACTTGTCTAGGATAGTTTGAAATGTTTATCTAAACTTGTTGGAGACTAAAGATCAGATCTCAGTCTCTGTCAGTCCTGACACCAGTTAGGAAAAATAATGCTTGCGTCCTAATGCGATTGCTTCAATGGGGTTATCTTTAGACTGAATCTGAATCGCTGATTTGGGGAATAAGTTTGTACATGAAGAGTCGTATTGTCTTGTTCGAGTGGAGGAGGGATTATGTTGATTCGCCTAATGGAGGGCGGACAAATCCACTATATAAGCTAAGCTATTTATTGATATATATATTTTAAGCATATAAGATATGTACAAAGCAATAAGTAAGGTGTATAACAAAGCTTGGATAGAACGCTACTTTATCAAGGATAACTATTGGCTAACACTATGCCAACAGCTGACTGACAGAGCTTATTACCTGGAGTTTTGTGAGAGAACCATTAGCTTCCTTCTTCTTGAGACCTTTTACTTCTTGGTCAGGCAGAAACTCTTCATCGCTTACTTTGGTTGAGGATGGCCAAAAGCAGCCCCGAGTGAAGGTGCCTTTCCCCTTTTATAGAAAAATTGACGATCAATCAAGTTTGCTCCTGATGCGGTCATATTCTGACCAGCTGTCAATTTAGCAGGAACTTCAACATTCGTTGAATCAGAGAAAATGTAAAAGATGCTGAAGTTTCTAAAAATCTGTCTTTCCTTGCTTTCCCACAGTTATAAAATAAATTAATTTTTTATTAAATTTTGTAATTCTTTTAGTATTTAATTTTGTTAAATTTTATATTTAAATTATTCCTGAACCCCATGTTCTCACACTACAACCCTATGAACCATACTTAAAATGCTCCTACCTAAAACATAAAATGGTTTAGNTAGAAATTATGTTTTGGGTCAGTCTTCTGGTATTGAAGATACGGGTAATATTAAATGGTCTTTGGCATTATGTCTTCTACTTGCCTGGATTATTGTATTTCTGTGCCTGAGTAAAGGAGTACAGTCATCAGGAAAAGTAAGTAAAGAATATAACATTATTGCTTAAGATGTGTTTATATAATTAATACAGAAAAATATATTAAAAAATCAAGATTAATGATAGATAACACTGTTCAGTAAAAAAATTATTTTTGCCCCATCAAACATTTTCACTGATTTTTTATAATTTCAATCGTGCTAAATATGAATCTGACAACAGAATTGGCCTAGCATCCACCATTATTGAGAGAGAAATGAGGTTTTTGAAGGAAAATATTTTCTGTTCAAAATATCATATTTATTGGCTACACACATGGCTAATTAGATACAAATAAATTTATTGCTGTTTATTCAATTTCTATATATAACATCTCTTTAACCCAAAAAACAAGTTCGGTAGACAATCTCACAGCTTCCTGGTTAGAAACAGCTTTATTTTGTAAATTGGACTACAAATGCATTTTGGGTTGGTTTAAGTTCCCAACCCCTCTTAAGTGCTGTACGAAAAAAATGACAATATAATTAGGGGCATGACATTACTCAGATATCACAAAAAAAGATTTTTTACATGACAAAACATTTACTTATCATATAAAGACATAAATTAAATTTTCTTTTTTCTAGAATTGTATCTTCCATGAATATACAGAACAGTTTACTATTTTATATTAAAAATTTTTATAAAATAAATTAATTTTTTATTAAATTTTGTAATTCTTTTAGTATTTAATTTTGTTAAATTTTATATTTAAATTATTCCTGAACCCCATGTTCTCACACTACAACCCTATGAACCATACTTAAAATGCTCCTACCTAAAACATAAAATGGTTTAGCCATAATCTAGAAATCATATTACGTAACAAATCAGGTATACACAAGACAGCGACATCTATGTTAACCATCAAAACACCCATGTTGTCGAGATTCCTGGAAGTTCCACCATAGGGAATATATAAGTGAAATTCTACCTAGAATGTTATATGTATAATATACATTTGCATGACTATAATTTTATACATTATCAAATATTATGGAGAATGTTTATGATGTGGTTTATAAATATACTTCTTAAGGTAATCGAAATTTGCAAGTTATTTGATAAAAGTTACTTATCTGTAATAATGAATGAAAATTTATAATTGTATATAAAAAATGGGATATAAACTATAGTGCTTTTATGTAATGAAATTCTAATGCATCATGTACGTATATGTATTAATTTAAAATCACATTAAAAATGAATAAAATAAAATTATCATTATATTTCAAATAGAAAGTGGTATCAAAAAGTTTCCAAATTATCTCTATAAAAAGTGATAGACTAACTTGAGGTTTTAATGTCCACCATTTCCCTCAAAGTAGTTTTTTTGGTAGTTGTTGCAATAGTATCAGTGATTCTGTTAGAAATAAAATAACTTTATTTTCAGGTAGAATAAAGTTATTGATTGGTTAGTAATTACGGAGTCTGATCATTCCTAGAAAATAATAGTTTTTGAACTGGTTACATATTGAGATGATTCATATCCCTTCCATTACTTCAGTTTTAGTTTTGGAACAGTTCTTTTCTTTTGAACTACAGGAAACAAAGTGAACAATGTCCAGCAGACAAATTTTCTATAAAGCTGTATGTGGTGATTGATGCCCCACTTAACTTGAGTGTTCGTTGATTTATAAAATAACCGAAGCTTTATATCTCATCATGAAAATTTATTTAAATTTATGTATAAGATTTTGTTTTACATTTATTGAGTAAAGTTTGATCAGTTACAAGCATGCGTCGGTACAGAACATTCACTTGTCGTGAGTAGTGTAGCCGAGAGAGAGAAAAAGAATATGGCGGATGGACTGCACATGTTTTAATAGCTCCATCTGGATTTTCAGATGCAGCACTAGGTTACAATTATTCAGTCGCCACACTGTATTTAGACAGTGAGTTATCCATTATGCTGAAGAACTTGCATATAGATATTTCATTGTGATACTACTTACAACAGAATCTTGTTTTAATGGATTGCTTGGACTGCCAAAAATCATCCAGTGTTCCAAAAATCCATTATATTGCAAACAATAGATTTTCCTCATACCCAAATAAATATTTGTTATTTAACCCCCTAAATATAAGAAATGCCTGTACTTAAAATTACTCAGTCTCTTGGGATCTCTATTCTTTTTTCTATAGAAACACATATGTTACATGATTGTATATTACATATGTACAACAAAGCTGAGAGAAACTGTATATACTGTAAACACAAAAAGAGACAAATTACATATGCTTATTAACACTTCAACTTCACTCGATTCCACAATTTATTAAAAAACTCATTCATCTTGGTTTGTTTTGATGCTGCTTTTCTGCTTATTGAATAAAGCAACTGTTTGATATTAGCAATATCATGTACAGGAACATCTGAAAATATACAGGAAGATCTTTACGACTTGGAAAGACTTGATGGATTTGCTAAATTTTGACACTACACTTGGACCAGCATCAGTATGTTCACTAAGTTACTTCTCAATTGTACCAACCTGCTGACTCTGTTTATACAATTCTTCAATTTTACCTATCCTTGATGTAACAAGTGCATCCTACTCTATAACTTCCTGGAAACACCTAAATATTAACTATATGTTGAAAAAAGTGCAAAATTTACAATAGATGGGACTAGAAAAAAATCCATTATTCTGAGTTATGGATCTGCTAAAAAGAGGTAAAATTACATTAATTTGGTGGGACCTGGGAAAAAAATTTGTTATTTCAAGAAATTTATTGTTCTGCAATCCATTAAAATGAGATTTTACTATATCTGGTAAATTTCATGCTTGTATACATACCAACATGAAATCTTGCTGTTAAAACATTGATTGTATTGTAATTTTGATTGTGATTTTGTAATGGTCCACAGTTCCTCCAAACCTGATAACGAAGTCATAAATGAATACATTCAAAAATGTGGACATCATGAAGTACTGTAAACATGAAAATAAAACTCTTTTAAAAAAATGCAATTATTACTGTTGAAATGTCAACTTTTTGCAGGTGCATTTTGATATAGGGCACTGTTTCTCAATGGGGGCGATATCGCCCCCATGTGGGCGTTTTTCCATGTTGAGGGGACAATTAGTAACAATTTATATTTTGGGGGCAAAAACAATTTTCTGGGCAATATAGTAAAACATTATATTAAGATTAATTAGATATTTTATTTGTTATATCGTACAGTAATTAAACAAATAACATTATACTAGTCACTAGTCTATTCAATGCAGTATGAATTTGGCGTTAGCCTTGGCCCTGGGCATCGGAATTTTGAAGTGAAGATGATACTACATAATGATTTTATTGAAGGGGCGATACTATGTTGAAGGGGGCAACAATTCGTTAGAGGTTGAGAAACACCGATATAGGGAATACATTACATTTGTGAGCTAGCTTTTTTCTGGTCTTGACATCTCAAAACTTGGGTGGACATTAGATTCAAGAAAACGTGATAAACTCTTTACTTTGCAATGGTTATTTTTTGCTAAGTAAAAATATATTATTAATAAATATTATATTAATATTAATGGTATTTTTAATTTAATACAAGTATTTAATATTAAATTCAAATTTTAATAATGAATATTCAATTCTTTATAATTAAATATTATGAAATTATAGTTTTTTATTAAAATATTTATATAATTCATCTTTTTTAGTTTTTTTTTATATTATTTAATAATGATACTACCATCTTAAAATACAAAATAATAATTGAAAAATATTCCATATATATCTATTTTTCATATTACCATATTCTATCAGATTCTTTTCATATTATCTGTTTTATTGAAAAGTTATTTAATAATACAGTAAATTAATTTTTTTATTTAGAAATTATGTTTTGGGTCAGTCTTCTGGTATTGAAGATACGGGTAATATTAAATGGTCTTTGGCATTATGTCTTCTACTTGCCTGGATTATTGTATTTCTGTGCCTGAGTAAAGGAGTACAGTCATCAGGAAAAGTAAGTAAAGAATATAACATTATTGCTTAAGATGTGTTTATATAATTAATACAGAAAAATATATTAAAAAATCAAGATTAATGATAGATAACACTGTTCAGTAAAAAAATTATTTTTGCCCCATCAAACATTTTCACTGATTTTTTATAATTTCAATCGTGCTAAATATGAATCTGACAACAGAATTGGCCTAGCATCCACCATTATTGAGAGAGAAATGAGGTTTTTGAAGGAAAATATTTTCTGTTCAAAATATCATATTTATTGGCTACACACATGGCTAATTAGATACAAATAAATTTATTGCTGTTTATTCAATTTCTATATATAACATCTCTTTAACCCAAAAAACAAGTTCGGTAGACAATCTCACAGCTTCCTGGTTAGAAACAGCTTTATTTTGTAAATTGGACTACAAATGCATTTTGGGTTGGTTTAAGTTCCCAACCCCTCTTAAGTGCTGTACGAAAAAAATGACAATATAATTAGGGGCATGACATTACTCAGATATCACAAAAAAAGATTTTTTACATGACAAAACATTTACTTATCATATAAAGACATAAATTAAATTTTCTTTTTTCTAGAATTGTATCTTCCATGAATATACAGAACAGTTTACTATTTTATATTAAAAATTTTTATAAAATAAATTAGAATGGCTTAACACATTTAATTACATAAAAATATATAATTCTATCTAAAAATTTCTTAAAAAACTTACATATTATATTTCCATTATTTAATACACTTAAATTGGATGCATATCAGTTCTTCCAAGTGAAGACTATAAGTGTTAATATAATATAATATACTGTAATTTAAAATTATTAAAAATTAATTACTTTACAGTTAAATTCTTGAACAACGGTGACATATAAAGACATACCAACAAAAGATGTTATCCAGTAATTCTAATTTATCTAAACAAACCGTACAACAGATCTTGGACTGTGCTTTTATTACTATGCTTAACATGTTGAAGCCTCTATTAATCTATACCAGTGTTTTTCAACTTTCTTGAATA